TGAATTTCATTGATTGGAGCATTTTTATTTTTTAATAATGTTTTTATACATACTTTTGAGATATGTCCTTGTTTTTGGCAGTTTCGACATTGTAGTCTTTTAATAATGCGACAATCAGACGTTTTATGATTATTGCGACCACAATGTAAGCACAAATCATGCAATCCCAACTGTTGAAGATCAATATTCGAATATTTTGAACTTGAATGTTTTGGTGTATTTAATGAGTCTCGTTTTTTATAATTATTCTTTGTTATTTTGTTAACTGTATTAGCAAAATTTATTTTATAATCGTTTCTATTTTGTTCTTTCGATGCTTCTATAGATAATGTTATTTCTAGTGTTTTTTCAAAAGGAAGGTCCCCTTCTTGCAATATCTTCTCTCTAATTTCTGTATCGTTAATTCCACGAATAAATTGTGCCCGTAACAAAATATTTATCATAGATTTTGTACATCTACTATCGTTGCATTGACTGTTGAAATTACATGATTTTATTAGCTCCTTTAATGATGCCATATAAGATGAAATTGACTCACCTGGAGATTGCAATCTTGATAAAAATTTATGCTGTTCAGTCAATATATTTTTCTTTGGAGTCAAATGTTCCTTCAATAACAATATTAATTCTTTATAGGACTTTGAAGCTGGTAAGTCGGGTGATGTTAAATTAGATAGTAGTTTATAGTATTTACTACCTAAACAATTGATAAGAATCATCACTTTAGCTTCACTGGTTTCAATATCTTCATTAGTTAATCCTTTAATTTTAAAATAATTTTCTAGCCTTTGACAGTATGTGTCAAAATCTTCACAATTTTCATCAAAATATTCGAAGTTAATATTTTGAGTTTGTAATACTTGTTTAACATCATTTGAGGTACTTGCCTGTTGTTGTTGGAGAGATTGAACTAATCCACTAAGAGCTGTTATTAAAGGGGCTAGATCTTCTGACATAATTTGAACAAATTCGTTGGTATATGATTTTCTTATTCTGGAATAGGTACTCTGGTTTTTTCTCAGTTAATCCTCGTCGCCAAATTGTAATGTTTCAATAAATTACTATATTCTGGATGATAAATTATATTTGACTTTTAATAATAATAATGATTTACATCTGTCTATCAAATTGACGATTATTACAACAACTGGTTTTCCAGGTGATAACTCATAATAAAATACAAAATACATAATAGAATAATAATATAAAATACATAACACTTAGGTTGTGGTCCGAATATAACCACGGTTGTGGTTTTGCAGTCCGAAAGTAATCAAATTACTCTGGTTCCTAGAAAAGTGATTACTTTTGAATCACGGTTTCCTGAAATCGGGTTAATCAGATTTCAAAATAGTTACCGGCCATCAGATGTCGGTTCTGTTGGTTTTATCTGTAATTTCTGTCAATGATTTTTTATTTCATATTCGCGTTCCTTAAGTAACCGGAATTTTCAGTAACTATATGTCAACCGATTCGGAGCTCTGGTTAACGTTTGGTTATATTCGGACCATAGTCCTCGCCATAGCCTTAATAAAAAAATGGGGGTTTTACATGCTACAAGAGTACCTACAAGTCGGTGCAAGTTGCAAAAACTCTTGCAAAAGGCATGCGCACGCAGTTGAAACCCAGCTGATTGCAAGTTGCAAGACTTCTAGCAATTGCAACTTAAGATTTATTGCAGCATGTAAACCCCCAAGTTTTAAAAAATCACTGGTTCCAGTTAAGCTTGCCAGATTTACGAGAGAGAAAAGCGGGGCAACGACGACGGGGGAGAGGGGGGGTTTATTCAATTTTTTTATTATGGCGTTTTCCATTTGTTGCACGGAGGTGCACTGAGTGCAATTTTTATATTCCATTTGACTGCACATTTTCAGTTTTCATTTTCCATTTGAAATTCAGTGCAATTATTTATGCACTCAGTGCGCATTTTTTGGCACGAGCTAGGAAGGCTCGTGGAGAGCCAGTGCAGTTTGTTTTGTTTTTGTTTATATGTACCGTACATAAAAATGTCTGCTAATTTCCAAAGAAAAAGTTGTTGCAGTTTTGGATTTGATATGTAGCAGCAGCGAAGTTGAATTCTATAATTCTCTGACGAAATTATATTATTTGAACGAATTCCGCAGCTTATCCACGTTGTTTTTAGATATATTATTATTGTTGTTTAAAAATATTGTCTGATGCGAAGTACCTACTTTAAATTATTTATAGATAGTCAATTTCTTCTAAATTTAACGGCGGGTGAAACCGCGGAGAAGAACTAGAAAAAGCTGTTATATTAAATACATTATCTGGACCATCGAACTAAATATTTATTTTGTATGACTTCTTCTTCATTAACTCTACTCTAAAATTCATTTCAAATACATCAATTTTTTAAATAGTTTCTGTAGTTAACCCTAGAACCATAGAACGACAGCCCAGACTAAACTTATTAATATTACAATTAGGCTGTTCATTTGTACTGCTTTTCTTTTTTCAAGCAGATCTCATAAGCTGATCGGCGTTCACTTGTCCCATAACTCCCATATAATAAGCTCATAAACAGCAGCTCCTAGCAGATCTTCCTGATTTTGCGAGTAGGTAGCAAGTACAAATGAACAGCCTATACTATAAAACATGCAGAGCAGGAAACCAGAAACCGGCAAGTGCTAAACAAAAACAACAAACAACATATGATTTTACATAACCCCAGAATCCGAGCCGACTCCGCATTTTTGCTTTCCATTTATACTGCACTGGTGCGCGTTTTTGACTGCACTAGAAAAATTCTCGTGCGCACTGAATGCTGCACTGAGATGACAAATGGAAAACGCCATTAGTTCTATTCCAAGCACATGGAATTTGGTCACTTCAGTGGGGGTAAGTAACCACTAGGCTAGGAGAATCTAACAGTGAAATAGAGGTGGGAAACTATCGAAGAATCTAACTATCGATATATCGATAGTAACGAATAAAAACTATCGATGTATCGATATATAACTATCGAAAAAAAAAAGGTTTACGTTTTGGACCCCAAATATAAAATGTATTTGGGGTTTCAACAATTAGTCGGCCTATTAGACGGTCAGTACTTTTACAGCAAAAGTGCTGTTTAGTGCTGAATCCTAGTCTTAGATGGCGCAACGATCAAATTTCGCCCGTCGTGGATAACAATGTTAAATTACACACGTTCTTTTTTCTTTAAACTAAACTGAAAGTAAAAAACAGAAATAAGCACCAATATGAACTGAAATAAAGTGTAGTTGAGTTGTGGAGGTTGTTGTTGTTAACTGATGATAACTGAAAACATAACTCATCTTCATCGTTTTTAATTTTGATTTCAACTTTCAACTACCATAGTACCATACCATCAGAACCAAAATAAAAAACAATCATAAATATGAGGAAACCTCAAGGTTGTTTGAGAGAGATAGGTTGCCTGTACTTTTATGGCGTCATCTGGGGTGTCTCAACAATTCCAAATCCTCTAGGGCCGAATTTATAGTCGGTCCTTGAGGTTTCCTAAGACCTTAAGGAAGCCTTGAACGTTAAGAATTGACATGAATGTAACTTGTCAAATGGTAGCAAGTAGCAAGTGTCCGTTCTAAACTCACAACCTTCAGGGAAGAGTCAAGGAACGACTATAAATTCGACCTATAGACACCTCAGAACAGATGACGTCATCAAATTACCCATTACCAGACAACCTATTAACTTCAAGAGCCTTGATGAAAGATGAAATGTAAATGATATTTCTTGACACTTGACATCGCTGACATGAGAAAAGACAGGAGGACTGTTATCGATTGTCCAAGTAGAACTATCGATAGTTCGATAGTGTAGCAAACTATCGATATATCGATAATACTATCGATAGTGACCTACCTCTACACTCTACAGTGAAATAATTTTTAAGATTGGTTGAGGTTGGGGGGGAAATAGTTGGTTCTTTGATGGTCGATAACTCTCTCCACAAAGGTGTGCAAAATTTAAAAGTTAGTGTGCAAAATTGTGCAAGATCAGAAGAATCTAACAGTGAAAGAATTTTTAAGTTTGGTTGAGGTCGGGGGGGAAATATTGATTCTTTGATGGTCAATAACTCTCTCCACAAAGGTGTGCAAAATTTGAAAATTAGTGTGCAAAATTGTGCGAAATTAGGAGAATCTAAAAGTGGAAGAATTTTTGAGTTTGCTTGAGGTCGGGGGGGAACCGTTAAGTTTGCAACCCATCTAAAAATTGGCTGTAGTCTCTCGGCGCAGGTTGTGCAAAATTTGGTTTAAGGTGTGCAAAATTTGTGCAAAATTATGACATAGTTTATTTTAAAATCGGGGCGGCACGGGGGGCAAACTTGACTGACCCCATTTTCAAATACATATACACTAAATATATTTATATTATCTCTGTTATAGAAAATTTGAAATTTGCAAGGCCTACTTGGGCTCTTTTTCTGTATAAATTCGAGCCTCAATAATTGACACATTGGGTACATTCAGGCGGTCCCAGCGGCTTAGCTCAGCCTCTCAGTAGTTACTTTATTCTCGAAACCGAGGAACAGTATTCTCATAAGAACGATTACTCTGTCATTGTCAGTGTTATGCCGGACCATAAAGACAGAACATTTGTTCCAATGCGAACGCTGCTCCCTGTTTCGATAATAAAGTTTCTGCTGAGTGGCTGAACTAAGCCGCTGGCAACGCCTGAATGTACCCATTATTTGTTATAAGTTGTAATTATCAACACTGAAAAGGGACAAAGTAGGCTTTCCAAAATTTCAAAATTTAAATATGGCGCCCTGTAATACTGACATTGCAATACAACATGTTTCCAAGGCCTACTTGGTTTGATATAAGCCTGGGCGAGAATTTTCCTGAAAAATCAACTTTCAAGATTTCTGGTGATTTTTTATTAAAAACTGGTGATTTTTCATTCCAATTTCTGGTGAATTTAATTTTTTTGATCTGGCAACAGTGATTGTAAATTAAATAAAACTCTTAATTAATTAACTCACGTTTTATTCAAATTTATACTTGATTAAGCTTATATTTTGCCTCGACAGCTCTAGAATCATTTTTATGCAAATGCCCCAATAGTTTTTCCTCAATTAAATCCACTGCTCCTCTTGTGAGTACCAAAGTATCGTGTTTCAACATTGAATAAACATTCAATCCGTACGCTGGCATCAAGTTGACATGTTTGATTGTATCAGTTGCAGCTGTAATGTTCCTAGGCATAATATCCACACTGTCCACCAATAACACCGAAGGGCCCCATAATCTGCTTTTTATCAGTTCATCAATATAGCTGGTGTCTTCGGAAGGGATTTCTAGACTATCGACTATGTGTAAGTCATCCTGAGCTAATTTAATGGACAAAGCTGACGTAAGGCCATGAATTCTAATGTAAAATGGTAGCATATAAAAGTGGGGTGTTGGCGATTTGGGGCCATGAACGACACCGCCTCCTCTAAACAGCGGCGATCTGATAGAACCGTGTCTGGCTTTGCCCAGGCCTTTTTGGGGCCACGGTTTCCTGCCGCCGCCTCTCACCTCAAAACGAGACTTTGTGTGAGCGTAGCTTACGTATCTGTAATTCTGTTGCCATTTGATGTTTTGGTGGATCAAGTCGATGCGTGGGTTGGCGGCGAAAATTTCCGGGTGGAGCTCTAATATCGTCAATTTTCTTTCGTCGATGGTGTCCAAACTTTCCAGCCATACTTGTCTCGGTTTTTTGTAGTTGGAAGGGAACAATAGTTTTCTGGGTTCTAGGGCAGCCAGTTCGCTCGAAGCTGGTGAGGACGTTGAGGTGGAGTAGCTCTTTGGTAAGCCATTTTTTAGTTGAATACATACGTTTCTTAACATTTTTGTTTTTTATTTTTTGTTAAAGAAAAGTTAGAACAAGATTTTGAAAATGATCAGCTGTTTTTAAGGTTATGTTAGGTACAAATCTGTCAAGTCAAGAGTCAAGAGCCGCTTTCGGGTACCGCTCTTGGAGTACTCCCGCTGTTGAGTTCGGAATGGGATTTTAGTGTAGTGCTAGTGCGGTGTTCGTAGATGGGTTCGGCTTGCTCACTCCGTGCACTCCGAGTGACTCCATTCGCACTCCAGCCGTTCGGGTATTGCTTTTTACCGTATTACGGGTGACTCCATTAGCTCTGTTCACACCACTCCAACTCCGCGCTGAATAGCTCAACCCAGCTCGTGTAGTGCAGTGTTATATCACGTGGTGAAAGTGTAATCAATGGTGGAACACCAAATACACCATCACTTTGTAACGAGTAAACGATGTCCCAACATCTATACACAATTTGAACACCAAAGTATTTCCAAACGCAAATAAAGTGTACACCAAGTTTGCTTCTACCAATTAACGAACGCCACAGTGTCAATAGTGTAAAAAGTGTTGACACTTTCTACCATTCCGAACTCACCTCGCATAACTCCAAAACAGAGACAATTCGTTCAATTGCGTAGAGCGTGGCAGAGCTTAACGCTGTATTTTCCTTTAAAAGTTTCAAATAACTCATCTTTTTTCACTTGCCTAAAGCGAGCACTTAGGGCGGGTATTATAAAACTGCTTTGACAGTTAACTTGAAGTTAACTTTTTGAATTACATGTAATTCCAGAAGTTAACTTTAAGTTGGCAATACAATGTAAAATTGTCAATGCTTTCAAATTTTCCATGTAGAAAAGGCTTGTGTTGCCAACATAGTTACTAAATTTTTGACTTGGGGAATTATCTTTAAAAAAAAAAACAGATTTTAGTTCATGATTTTCTCTAGTTTAGAACAGCAATCGAACTACTCGGAACTCTGAGAGCCAGTTCAAAAATTATATGAACTGGTTCTAAATGAACTGCGAACCATTCAATGTGTTCGGAACATCGTAACAATAATGGGTTTGTTTAGAATGTATGTTCAATATGAACAAATGCGTAAGCGCAGTTCAATTTAAAACTAATTCTGAAATGAGTCCGAACAAGCTTATTCCAATTTAGAATCAGTTCAGAGTTGATTTAGAACCGGTTCTAAATGTACTACGAATAAAAAAGAGTAGATTCGATGTGTTCCAGGGCATTTATATTAAGATTTTGTGATCTAGTTCATTTGACAGTAAACGAGTTCGGAACGCTGTTTTCTCACGGTGGAGCTGGTTCGATCCAGTTCAAATAGGTTTGACGCTTGCGTTGAACCAGTTACGTGTTACGTCACATTGAACCTGGTTTGAAAAAGTTCGAACCGGACTTCTGGCTTGTTCTCCATTGACATAATAGTCGGGGAGCTGGCATCGAAAATATGCAAGAGTTTTCGCAAGGCTCATATTTTCAGAATGAGTAGCATTTTAGTACTACAAAGCTAGGCTACAGTCAGCAGTTCCAGTTCCGGGACACCTGGCGCTGAGATGCGCGCAAAGGTGTATTTTTAATCAACACCTCGCAACAGTTTTCGCAAAGCTGAAAATTTGCAAAGAACATGCGAATATAATGTAGAACCATAATTTAACAGTCAGACAAAGAAATACGGGGACACGTAGAGTCAGCGCGACTTTGAAGTGGTCAAAAAAATGACGTCACCGAAAGTGTTTTCGCATGGCTGAAATTTGGCAAGGTAATAGTAAAAACAATATATTTATTGAAAAAAACAGTCAGACACTTCTATGTCGGGACCCCGTCAGTCAGCAGTCGATTAGAGTGATATAGGTGGTACCGCGTCATTAGGCATATATCCATGTCGAATAATAAATTCACCAAAAGAGTTTTCGCATAGCTGAAATTTGGCAAGGTAATAGTAAAAACAATATATTTATTGAAAAAAACAGTCAGACACTTCTATGTCGGGACCCCGCCAGTCAGCAGTCGATTAGAGTGATATAGGTGGTACCGCGTCATTAGGCATATATCCATGTCGAATAATAATTTCACCAAAAGTGTTTTCGCATAGCTGAAATTTGGCAAGGTAATAGTAAAAACAATATATTTATTGAAAAAAACAGTCAGACACTTCTATGTCGGGACCCCGCCAGTCAGCAGTCGATTAGAGTGATATAGGTGGTAGCGCGCGTCAATAGGCATATATCCATGTCGAATAATAATTTCACCAAAAGTGTTTTCCATAGCTGAAATTTGGCAAGGTAATAGTAAAAACAATATATTTATTGAAAAAAACAGTCAGACACTTCTATGTCGGGACTCCCTCAGTCAGCAGTCGATTAAAATGATATAGGTGGTAGCGCGCGTCAATAGAATTTTACTCTATATATAATATCCATTTCGATGAATAATTTTATTTTTATAATTTAAATTATTTGGAATCGGAAACGGTAAAATAAAATTGTACATGCAGTTAAAAAGTTTGCGGTTAGAAAAAAGCCCGATTCGTATAAATATTACTTGACCATTTAATCAGCAGTACTGTGATAGTATACCTATAGTAAGTTTTATTAAATACTTATAATCGTCGCCGATTTTATAAAATACAAAAAAAAAAAATTCTAATCACATCTGCCGCTTCCCTTCTCCTAATCTCGACCTAACAGTACCATAATGAAGTTTCCGAATTCGAATGCATATACGCCTTATTCAAGTATACGCGCTTACGCTTGCAACTTACAGGTTTACACTTACTCATTAAGAGAAAAGAAAATGTATTTTACCGTTTCCGATTCCAAATAATTTAAATTATAGAAATAAAATTATTCATCGAAATGGATATATATATAGAGTAAAATTCTATTGACGCGCGCTACCACCTATATCACTTTAATCGACTGCTGACTGAGGGAGTCCCAACATAGAAGTGTCTGACTGTTTTTTTCAATAAATATATTGTTTTTACTATTACCTTGCCAAATTTCAGCTATGCGAAAACACTTTTGGTGAAATTATTATTCGACATGGTTATATGCCTATTGACGCGCGCTACCACCTATATCACTTTAATCGACTGCTGACTGGCGGGGTCCCGACATAGAAGTGTCTGACTGTTTTTTTCAATAAATATATTGTTTTTACTATTACCTTGCCAAATTTCAGCCATGCGAAAACACTTTCGGTGACGTCATTTTTTTGACCACTTCAAAGTCGCGCTGACTCTACGTGTCCCCGTATTTCTTTGTCTGACTGTTAAATTATGGTTCTACATTATATTCGCATGCTCTTTGCAAATTTTCAGCTTTGCGAAAACTGTTGCGAGGTGTTGATTAAAAATACACCTTTGCGCGCATCTCAGCGCCAGGTGTCCCGGAACTGGAACTGCTGACTGTAGCCTAGCTTTGTAGCACTAAAATACTACTCATTCTGAAAATATGAGCCTTGCGAAAACTCTTGCATATTTTCGACGCCAGCTCCTGGACTATAAGACAAACATTCCATTTTCTCGCGTTCACCAGTGATGACGTCATCCCCAAATTGGTTTAAACCGTAGTTTGAACCATTCCATGGAACCCGGCATCCTTGGCATAGGCAAGGGGGGAAGGTGATTTCGACTGACATTAACTTACCTTAGATGTTACAAAAAATGATCCTTTATTTCAGAACAACTTAGGTTAGCTAAAAACCGAATTTTCGCGACGAACTACTTCCATGATTCCATGAATTCAACCGCTTTCGCGAGAAACTCATGACGTCATATTAAATGTAGTTCGCCGGAAGCATCGACGCAACTTCAAGCCAGCGTTCAAACTCATGACGTCACAAATGAACTAATAGAGAGTTCTCGTGCCTGAAACGCTACGCTAATACGGTACCGCTAATAATACGTTATTTTACATGGTATTTTATAGTTCTCGAACACGAATACGCAAAAATCCTCCAATCCCTTATTCTGTTCACATTTTGAGAGCTGAGTTGAGTGGTCTAACCCAACTTTTCTTTGTTCGTTTTCTAACTTATAATTTATCCTGAAGATTCTGAGTTTGATTAATTTTCCCTTGGTGTTTTTTATGGAGGAATTATTAGAAGTTGCTGTTCTTGCAGACGGAAATGGAGCGTGAACTAATTTTGACATAGCATAGCGTTACGGTTAGGCATCCGCTAAGTCCCGTTAGATAGCGGGCTCCGCTAACGCTAATACCGTAAAAATTGTCATACTTGTCAAATAGCGTTACGGTATTTGAAATTTGGATAGCACGAGAACTCTCTATTCTAAACTACGAAGTAGTTGATGACGTCGTTTATGGTGCTATACAATATAGCCGCGATCTGCCTCAATGCTAAACATGCAAATCTCCATAAGAATCATCTAATGACCAAGGATATTACAGACTTATTTAAAGCTTTCTAGATTGGAAAAATGCCAAAATAATGTCATTCGAAGCTATCTGGATTAAAAACTTGTTAAAAAGTGCCAAAATAATATCATATTTAGTTATGTAGCGGTTATCGAAGGGAACTTCAACACTATGCACTACACATGTTTTTTGATTAGATCCTGTTTGTTTAGCTCTCGGATATTTTCTTTTGCGTTGATCTGCGTTCGGCTTATGACTTCACGATATCGATGCTCATACTGGGGGGCTTTATTTGAAATTGATGCAACTTTGCGTACACGCAAATATGACGCAGATGAGGTCAGTTGCGATTGAAAAAATGCATGTCAAATAAGCCGTACACAAATTTCCAATCGCGAATGACGTCATTTGTGTGTACGCAAAGTTGCGTCAATTTCAAATAAAGCCCCTCTGTTCCACTCTGTGAAGTGCAAACAGGCAAAAATGGCGACCGTTCGCAAAACATGTTTGGTTTCAACACAAATTCACCGTAGCGTTCAGCAGAACAATCGCAAAGCGTTTACCAACGTTTGTATTTGGTGAACGCGGCCGTGTGTCATCTGAAATGAAATAATCAATTCCTAAACGTTAAAATCACCTTTCCAACATTTTAAATTGAAGAAAAAATCCACTCACAAGCTCAGCTTGAATAGCAACTATTTCATCGCGGTCTGCGGATGACGTCACCAGTATGAGCTGCTCATACGTCACCCGCAGACCTGCTGGCGACTCGAGAACTGGCGAATGTACGCCTTTTCCAAGATAGTACATCCCCTTATCTGGATGAGCAATCCGTTTGATGGAGTGTTCTCACAAATAATTAGGAACTATACTATAAAACTTGATCGATAAATCCTCTAGCAAGTTCAAGGTTCAAGTGCTGGGTCATCATGGGATGGTTGCTGTACTTAGGTCATCTGTCGTTTGTCACTCGTCAGTTGTCATTCGTCAGAAGAGTACAGACGACAGTTAGAGTACCAACAAGAGTCGTCGGAACAAGTACCAAACGTGCCTTTTAAGCTTGGAAGTTAAGTAACAATTTAACGAATATCTTTTTTCTGGGTTTGATTTTCAAACAATAAGGTAATTATTGTATTCTCTACTATTTTATTTTCCTTAATTTCCGGAATCTGTCTTTTATTTATGTCTTTTATTTCAGATTGTAGAAGCAATAAAAGGAGTCGTGTTTACTCAGAGCATTTTTTAAAAACAACAAAAATATGGCTAGAGCATTAGCTGTTAATGATACCAATCCTGCTGATCAAATTTTAAGACCTAAGTCAGAGGCCTTTCTTTATAAACTAGACGATATGGAGTTTAAGGTGAGAAATGCTACCAAAGCATTGCTTCAAGATAATGAGAAGTACATACTGTGCCTGGAAACACCAGAAACTAGTCTGATGTCTATTAGCTAAAACGTTGAGCAACCTGAAAAAAGAGGGATTTTTAAATTAACATCAAGATCAAATATTCACCGATTTTCAGGATGTTATCAAAATTAATAAACAACAGTATGAGAACTGGACCAACTTCCCTGATTTATTGGTTTGCATAGTAGGCATAGACGATGAGCAACAACTGGAAAATTATTTCGAGTTATTAATGTCATGGGCAAAGCTCGTCAAGAATAAATCTAAAAAGATCATTTTTATTATGAATAATTCCAAATTTTTAGAGAAAAGCATGATGAAAACTAGAATGGTGTATGTTTTAAAGGTTAAATTCACTGAATTATGGAAAGAATATGACGGAAAAAATTATTGTCATGAAAATAAAGTTGGATATAATGATTCTGATATATTTGATAATGCAGTTTCAAAAGCTGTAAACGAGGCCATGAAAAATATTAAAGCAAAAGAAGAAACTAGTGTGACATCACCTTCATCCATTGAAGAGGAGTTTATGAAAGTTGCATCAATTATAAAATTACAAGGAGTGACCTCTGTGTCTTCTGTAGATAATCAAGGCAATACTCCATTGCATTTGGCAGCCGGAAAAGGACAAAACAAAATTGTCAAAGCTTTACTAGTTTGTGATGCTGAAAAGGAGTCAGAAAATAAGGACGGTTGTACACCTCTTCATTTAGCAGTTAATGAGGGTCATCATGAAGTAATTAGCACATTGCTTGAAAACAATGCTAATGTAAATGCAATTAACAGTGTTGGTCGAACTCCACTCCATATGGCATGCTGCACAAAAAATCCCCGTTCAGTTGAACTTCTTTTGAAATTTGGTGCTAACATTGAAACAAAAGATAATTATGGTCATACACCTCTTCATTTTGCATCTTCCTTACGTGGTGGTAGTAACGTAGCAGTTACCACATTGTTGGCACATGGAAGTAATATAAATGCCCAGGATAATAAAGGACAAACACCATTGCACCATGCTATAGAATACAGTAATAAACAAGGAATTGAAATTCTTTTAGAAAATGGTGCAGACCCAAATCTAAAAAATAATTCGAAACAAAATGCTATTGATTATGCTAATCAATATTATATACATTCAATTCCGTTATTTGAAAAGCATGCTGCTTCAGTCAAGTAAAAATGTACAATTTATGAATAAATAAATTGTCTTTTCTATATTTTTTTCTTTTTTTTATATAGGTATGCGAGAATCTGATACCCCAAGAATAGAGACGTGACCATCAGCGGCCAAAAGGATTTGTTCAAAGCCATAGTTCATCTCTTGGTTTTATTATTTGGGTTGCATGACTCAATGTTTATGACCAGACCCATCGGCCACGTTGAAAGGGTCTTTCAAAAACAGTTATGTTTTAGGCTAGGTAATCGATAGCTTTAGGGGACTTGTACGGACTTGCATTTTGTTCAGCTTCTTGAAAGCATCGTCGCCCTGATATTTTTGTGAATTTGAAATAAACTATTTTTATTGTTGAAAGTCTAGCGTTTTCTTACAAGTACATAGGTATTACTCAAGAATGGTAATTACCTTGTAGATAATAGAATTTCGTTTTCAGTCCAATATTACAAAGCATAGGTTCACTTGCTTGATACAATTATTAAGCTAATTTATTTATCAGAACAACTTTACAAACACTAGTAGTTATGTATGTACAGGGTGGCCTGTTTATTTCGTCCTCTCAATATATGGAAATCTAGATATTTTATGACAAAAGTTGTATAGCTTGAATAATTGATTTGTTCTTTTTTATTTGGAACACCCTGTATATTTTTATATTTTCTGATACTTAGCACTTTTGAAGACAAATATAAATAGGGAGATTTTGGAACAGTGAAAATAACATCAAAAATTACAGAAATATTCGTTAACTTTAATTACATTTAAGATAACGAAAGGTAAATAAAAGCGAGTTTTTGGACTGGATTTATGAATAACGATATTTGTGGTAATTTTATCATCTTGTTGTTTAACCTAACTTTTCAGTAAATATTTCGTACTTTCTTTCTCGCTGTTTTTTCTTTTCTGCTTTTGGTAAAATTGTTTTGTTTTGTGTGTTTTCCTGGCTAAATTGAAATGAATGAAAATATAGAAATGTTGGAACAAAATGGCGCCGGAACCTCTATTGTCGCCACTGTATGTAAAGGTTTATTTAGCCACTGTAACCTACCTCATAATAGTCATCAAATACGTTGTTTTCAATTTTTTTATAATGGATGTCCATTCAAATCCTATATATTCATATTTAAAAGTAGCAAGAGGTAGGGCACAAAATGGCGGCGTTTTCCATGGCATATGAATTAATAGCAGGACTTTGAAGAACCAATCAAAAATAAGACAGCAATTGTCGCCACTGTGAATGGTATGTAATGAAAGAAAAGGACTGCGCAATTTGACGATAGAAGATATACAGGGTGTCCCACGACGTTTTTCCCAGGTAATAACCTCGGAACGCGTCATTCAATATAATTGAAATTGTGAGGAGCTGGATAACTTTTTATGCCGCTTCTACCATTGTCATCCAATTTCACCAATTTCGCTCCAATTTCGGTAAAGTGACGTCAACTTTCAAGTCGTAAAAGTAATGCATGATATATTATGGCATTTTTCGTTAGCGATCTAAAACGGATTCTCATGTTCGACTTGAGCAATAAACGCTCTCAAACCTCGCACGGAGCGCTATTCCTTGCTCCGTCAAATTCGATAGATCAATGATTGATCAAAACAAAACAATTAAAGTACGTTCGGCTATTAATTTCAAATAGCGTGCCTTCGCTTGGATCATAATCGCTCTCGGAGTATTTCCGCAGAGATCTGTGACGTCACCGCCCAAATAGAGAATGCTTTGGGAGCAGTAAAGCCGAAAATGCCATAAGATAAAACTGTTACGTCGATTGAATGCGCAAACAAAAATAAGTTGGGTTATGTAGTGGTGAGAAGCAGGAAGAAATTAAAAATTTTTGGGGTGGACTACCCTTATCACTTTGGAGTATAAAAAATAGCTTAAAACCTATTCTCAGACCTACCGAATATACATATAAAATTTCATAAAAATCGGTGAAGCCGTTTCGGAGGAGGAAGGTAACTAAAACTGTGACATGAGAATTTTATATTGTGGCGTCGCCAAGCTGTCAAGAAAGCTACGCTGTCGAATAGCCTAGAAATTCGGATTCCTACAATAATCTCTCTCCTTTAATTGGGAAAATAGGATTGTCATGTGTATCCTAGATTTTACAGGAATAGATGGGATATATAAGGGCCGCTATTGCTTGCTTTGTAGTTTTAGTTAAAGTTTGACTGTGATTCGATTTAAATAGCGATTGTTGTAAAGAGTTTAATTGTTGAGTTAAATATTAAAGTAATGAGTATCAGAGTGTATTGTTATGTGGAATAAATTATTGCTGTGTTAATTGGACTTTGATTTTTGGAATAAACGAAACGAACCCAAGATTTCTGTCCGGCAATCCAAAGCCGTGACAATTGGTGTCAGAAGTGAGACATAAAGGACTGCAGAGTGAACTCCAAATTACTGTATTCCTTTTATACATCGAGTTACATCGAACGAGCTCCGCGGAGTCACTCCAAAACACACAATTCAGCTTTTATCATCATTATCTAATATTAACATAACCGCTCTTACCTCGAAGGGCTTTTTGCATTGGCGTATCCAGGATTTTGGTTTGGGGGGGGGGGCTCTGTCAACAAAAAGTATTGACAAAAAAAAAAAGCTGCGCACAATAGTCCATTTTCACGTGCCTCTCATTGACTATAATAAAGCATAAAGCATTCATGCGCATGTTGCCACATTAGAAATGACGAAATATATTAAGATCATGTTAATAGGTAGAGGTTTTTTATCAGCCATATTTTGAAATGGTTTACTAATGAGAACTTCGGCATCCTCGCATGTTTGAAAAAGTGACGTCCCTTTCCTATCCGGCGTTTTCGCAGCAGTTTGAAAATTCGTTTTTCAAATAATTTTATTTTCAAAAATAAAAGTTTTTTTTGGAAAAAAGTATACAGATGTTATCAGAATGATTAACAGAATAGTTTAAAAATGTGAAAGTTGACTATTTTCATCAGGAATTCACCTGTAACATATACTCAAATGTTACGCGCCTATTTTTTTTTCGTAAGGACGAGAAATTTTGTTCACGGAGCACCTTCTCTCCTGGGTCCTTATTCTTGAAACTGGGGAGCAGCGTTCACAGGAGAACGAGTGTTCCGTCTTTGTTACTTACATTATGAGCAGTGGCGTAGCCAAACCAAACGTGGACGTCGGCGACATCCGAATTGCGAGGCCCTTTTTATGAAGGGGCCATATTCTTTTGACAAAAAACTGGATAGAAAAGACAGGGTGGCTACCCACCGGCAGGTCCGCCGAAAGATAATCGCCGAAGGCGATAATTTTTCGAGTGTCAAGCCCCCTTTTCCGGGCCAACGGTATTCGATAACAATATTTAGTCAAAAATATTAATATTTTTCTGGTAACAAATCCTTTCAACCTAATAGTTATTTATGCGATAAGTGTGTAAAGTGAACCTCTTTTCACGAATGTGAATTTTGACGCACGAGCTGAAGGCTAGTACGACAATCACATGAGTGGAAAAAGGTGCTTTACGCACGTATTGCATACCTACAAAATTTTTTTTACTACCAATCAAATATGTGTCAAAAAATAGATTTAGACAAATAGGTACTTTACACACTAGCGCGTGAAGTATTTCCACTTTATGCGCTAGTGTGTGAAATAATTTACCAGAAAAATACTAAATTGACAGTGTCGACATCTGTCATTGACATTACTTCACGCACTAGTGTGTGAAGTGAATTACTTTACGCACTAGTGCGTGAAGTGAAATTTTACATCTTCGGAATAGTGCGTAAAGTGCATACTTACACGTAGACTTTCATTGTCTACTTTACGTGTAGACAATGTAGACAACGTGTCAACAATGTAAAATAATATAAATGACGTTTAATTCTAACCTCACACTTTCCTTTTTTTAATTTATTTTTATTTTATTATTGGTTTTTCTGATATTTTATAATCAGTGAATGCTTGTATTGAAGTGATAGTGATATTATAGTAACTTTTGATATTTTTTTTCGAATTTTTTAAAATAAGTTACATATTGTTTACGCCGCATGTAGACAATGTGTAGACAAATGCTCACGTAAAAAATTCGAATTGTCTACGCATAGACAATCAATTAATTACGTTGACATTGTCTACAGGCACATCACTGGTTGGACGGACTTTCAAAAGGCTGTAAAATGTACAGTCACAAATAACAGTCGTGAGCATTAAAAGTGGGACACCCGACACCTGACTGACAGGTCTTGATATTTTTCGCTATTTTGGGTAAAGCCTTGTACTCATAACTGCGAAATTTGCACTTTTTTGACATTGCCTCGACAATTTGTCGTTTTATGCGTGAATCAAACGTCAAATTGTCGAAGCAATGTCAAAAAGCGCGAATTTCGCAGTTATGACTGTCATGAGTCCTAGGCTTAAATCAGTATTCTCTCTAAAATGGATTTTTTGTCAAATATGACAATCCTTATCATTGCCGACGGTGTAGCTGACGAGCCCGTTTTACAATAGGAAAAATCGGGTGGTAATGCTCACGACTGTACAGGGTGTTTAAGATTCGATGGTTTTGGCGCGTTTGGGGTATTTCTGGAGGAGTTTTAAAAAAACAGTTAGGAAAAGTGCTAATTAATTGAATTCAATAACAATACGTGATAAGAACCTTTCCACATTTACCGATTTATTGAAATACCGACAATCTACCGAAAAAATAAAAACCATATGATTTGAGAATTCTAGGTTAATTTGCATTAGAATTGATAAGTTTAAAGGCCAGTTTCTCAACAGCGAGTCACCTTCGGATTGGTTTTAACTCCAGGGCACAGATCACCTACATACAGATGCGAAAGAGCGGTGAATTCGTGGTTCAACGTTATATGTAAACAACAGACTCGAACACGCTCACGCACTATAAATGTCCTAACACGGACGATCTGTGCTTATGCGTCAGAGGGCTGCTCCTTGTGAATCCATGGTTTTGTAGCTTTGAATCGACGGCAAGGATACTTACTTACGCATCTGTATTCAGGTG